AACGTCGTTTTAATAGGAACCCCCGAGAGTGCAGAGGGGAGAAGCGGCGCCGCAGGGGGGCGCCACCGGGGTGGGGACCTGCGGAGAAGACCACTGCACCAGTGAATGAACCACGCGCTGCAGAGGCGTCAAGTAGGGAGAGACGCAGCTCCTGCGAAAGGAGAGGCTGCGAGAACAGGGGGGGCGGCGCGACGGGGTCAGGAGGAGAGGCGACCAGGACGGCGACCGAGCTGGCATCCGAGAGGGGGACACCGCCATGAGGGGCCGCCGCCGCCGCCTGCGCCGCCGCCTGCGCCGCCGCATGCATCATCCCCGCCTGCGCCGCCGCCTGCATCGACGCCTGGCCCGCCGCCGCGCCCGCGAGCTGTCCCGACATCATCGCGGCCGCCTGCACCTTCAGGTCGGTGGAGCCGCCGCCGCGCCAGCCGTCGTGCACAGCGAGCATCCGCGAGAGGGACATCGAATCGGCGAGCGACCGCTGCAGGTGCATCGAGTACGACGAGCAGAGCGCAGCGGTCAGCGACGCCTGGTCGGGCGCGGCCACGGGCGCGACCGCCGGCATGCCCGCCCCCGCCCCGACCGTCGGCGAGTTGGGGGCGGCGCCGGGCTGAAGACCCTGTGCGCCGCCCCACAAGTCTTCGAGGCCCACGGCCGAGGGCGGCATGGGCTGCAGCGGCGGCAGCGGCGGCAAAGACTGCAGCGCCGCCTCCTGCGCCCGGGCCAGGTCGAGGCTCGGGTAGGGCGGGCGCTCGCGGGTCTGCCGCCGCTTCATGCGAACGCGGGGGATGCACGGCCGGCCGCGCTCGACGCAAGAGAGGCACGAGCCGCACTGGAGCATCGTGCAGCGGAGCTTGGCCCTCCAGCACGCCATGCACGCCTGCGGGGGCGACGTGGGGACGTCGTCGGAGGCGTTGAGGGCGGCGGCAAAATGGCGCGGGCGAGAGGGAGGGCGAGAGCGAGGGCGAGAGCGGGCGAGGGCGAGGGGCGACATGGAAGGCGAGGGCGAGGGCGAGGGCGGGCGAGAGGGAGGGCGAGGGCGAGGGCGAGGGCCCTCCCTCTGAGAGCAAGAGCGAACGCGCGAGCGCGAGAGTTTGAGAGCGATAAGGGAGGGCGCGGGCTATGTTCCTCGCCTGCTTTGCCCGCTTCCTCTCGCCGCTCGGGTAAAATGCAGTCTCGCCGGGCTGCAGCGGCAGCGGCTGGAAGCGAGGGTCAAGCGTGGTCATCGCCACAAGCGGCGCGGCAATCTGCGGCGCGACGACGACCTGTCCCAGCTGCTGCTGGGGCGCAGCCAGCGTCGGCGGTACCATGAACATTGTTTGTGCGTTGCTCGTGTACATCATCTATCTCTTGGCAAAGACCTCGGCGCATCAGTCGCCCTTCACACGAAGAGAGCGATGAGCCGAAGAGAGCGATGAGGCAGAGGACGACGGAAATCTCTGTGTCGTGGCGGCGTGTGCCGTCCTCCCACCCTTGGGGCACTTGGAGCACTTACTTGCTTGGTTGGACCTTGGTTGGTTGGTCCTTGGAGTGCAGTCAGCAACCGCACATCCAGGGCCGGGGGGCTAAGAACTGAGTTGGCAAGGTAAGGGGAATGATCAGAACGGCAAGGCTCGGAATGCGTTCTTTGAACGTTCAGAACACCGGCCACTGGGCCCGCCTGAGGCGCTGAGACCCGCAGGACACCGCGAGGGAGGGCACAGGGGGGCGGGGTAGCAAACAAACAGCCCTTATATGCAATACGGGACAGCCACCCACTCAAAGCACTCACCACACGATTATGCCGCCTCCTATTCGTCATCCTCTTCAAAGCCGACAATGGCTTCGTCAGCCGCCTTTTTCTCCGCCGTGCGGTACGCCTCTTGATGTGCTTATCACAGTAGCCCGAGGACGGGGGGGGGGCGGGCCTCACCCGGAACTCACCCCGAGACCCCACCCCGGGACGCGCCGGCTGCGGGTGAGGCCCCACCCCCGGGGCAGTGAGGGGCAGGGGCGGGGCGGAGCTCCTCAGAGGCGCCCCGGGTGCCCCCACCCCCCCCACCCGCCACCCCGGCGGCACCCGACCCGCCCATTCAGCTTTGCTCTTTCGTCCGGAGCGCGCCTTTCAGGGGGTAGAATTCTTAATCTTTTAGGCGTGGCGCTGGTGGGCCGGGGGCGCGCGGTAGCCGGTAGGCGTAGGTACGGGGCCGCGTGCGCGTGGGCTGTGGCCCGCCCGTGGTGCCCCTGCGCCCTGGCTGGGTCGGGCAGCGAGCTACCCCCCCGGGACAGCGCATCGCGAGTGAGGCCCCTGGGTGGGGCAGGTGAGGGAGGGGGCGGGGACGGCCGGGCCCCGGTGAGCCCCGGGTGAGGCCCGCCCCCCCCCCCGTCCTCGGGCTACTGTGATAGGCACATGAGTGCCCGGTTCAGGTTCTGCTTGCCGCAGTTGTCGTACAGCTCCTCGAGCTCGACCCAGCGCGTATCAATCGGAAGCCGTCGTCATTCTGGTCCTCTCCAAACTTGCCGCGGGTGAGGCAGCACAGCGACGTCTCCGCCGCGGCCAGCTCATTGCGCCGCTTCTTCCCGACGAGCCGCTCAGGGTCGGCGAAGCGCATGCCAATCACCTCCTTGATCTCGAAGCAGTATGTCGGCACGACCGCGTCGTCTCCTCCGCCGTCGGCGAGGCGCGCCACGCCGCTCCGCCGTGGCCGCCTTCTGGCATAGCGGGTACACATGGTGCGGCGCGCATACTTGAGCACACCGTGGTTGGTGCAGTTGGCGCACGTGCCTGTGGGATAGGGCGCCATAGCGACGCGCGCGCTCCGGGTATGTATCGGGTATACCTGAGAATTCTCGGGTATACCCGGGTTTTACCCGGCCGGCCACCTGGGTCGGTCCGAGGGTGTTCCAGGAATGATCAGAATGGCGAGGGCCAGAACGTGTTACATGTACTAGTCAGAACGGACCCCAGTTGCCGTTCCTGCCAACTCAGGCTAAGAAGCACACCCAGCGGGCCAGATTATTGGCATCGGGTTGCGGGCAAGAGAGCCCTAGCCCTGGGGGGTGCGCGTTCGCAGGGAAGGGCCGCAAAGTAAACACGGGTCTCCGAGGGTTAGTCCGCGCCCCTTGGGTGTCGCCCTCGGAGCCGCTGGGTTCCGGCTTGGCCTTTATACGTTATTCTTCCGATTCTATATTCTTTTTCGAAGCGATTTTCAGCGATTTTCAGCGGGAATATAAAGAATATTTGAGAATATAGGCCCGATTTGGAGCTGTATTCTTGGCATATTCGAGAATATAGACCCTGTTTGGGACAAGAATACGGAAAGAATACGGGAAAAGAATATAGATAGTACTGGGCGAGAAAAACGTATAAAGGCCAAGTTCCGGCTCCTAGCCAGATAGGGGGTCTGTTGACCGGTGACACCCTATGCAATAGGTTGGTAGGTCCGGTTTTGACCGCCCCAGAGGGCCCTCAAGCGTCAAGGTAGGTACCCCCTATTTTCGTCTTTTTTCGCTTCGCTGCGCCGTGCGCGGCCTGGGGATAGGTAGGTAGAGCGTTTTGGCGCGAGTCATGGTGCAGACCCCCTACGAGCTTACTTCCTCTTGATCACAGCGGATCTTGGTCACAATTTTCACATCATCGCAGAGCGCCGGGCGCCAGAAGGCGGACTCGACCCCCACGCCCCACCTCCGGCGCGGCCGCAGCGCCGCACAGAACTGAGAACAGTGCCGGCGGGTCGTGGGCCACGCCCTCTTGTGACCCCGGCTCCCCGCCGCCCGCGGCAGGCAAACCCCGAGCCGGCTGGTGCTCAGCGCATGTACCACACACTACTCAGAGAGGCCACAAAGGCAGACACGAACCCCCACGCCTCCCTCCTTATCGCAAATCGCACGTCGTCGCGTGCGGCCGCCGCCTTCACTTCACACCAGCTGCACGGCTGGCGCCTCGGCCGTAGCCGCTTCTGGCCTGCTGGCGCGCGAGCGGCGCAAGAGTCCGACGGCCAAGAAGACGGCGGCAAAGGCGCCTACAGTATTCGGTGCACTCGCGGCTAGTGTTGCTGCTAGCGTGCGTGGAGCCTCGGCTCGCGGTGTGTCCGTTGCGGCACCGGTTGCGGCGAAGACGCCGGCGTGGGTTGCGACCAGCTCGCCGGCCTCGTCCTACAGTGCGGAGGTACATTCACGCAGGGCGGGGAGGGGGGAGGGTGCGTTGAGGCGGTGGAGAGGGCGCACAATCTTGTGAAGGTAGTTGCGGGATGGCTTGCACTGGCTGTACCAGGCGCTTGATGCAGTACAGACGGAGCCAGCTTCACAACAGGTGGCGCCAGTCCAGGAGTTGCCGCCGCACTGCGCCCATTTTAGCTGACAAATGGTAGGGTTGCCGCCCGGCATGCCTGGGCGCGGAAAGACTGCGGTCGGGCAGCCCGCGTAGCCAGGGTGGGCCGCGCACCAGGCGCTGAGGCTCACGCCCTTCTGGCAGGCCATGCACGAGGCGGTCATAGCCATGCAACACACTGTAGGGTTGCCACCAGGAGCAGGGTGAGGTACGGACCAGTAGTCGCCCGTGCGGTGGTTGCCGCCGGAGGTCCCGCAGCCCCAGCTGTTGCACCCGTGCGCCTTCCAGTCGCCCGTGTACTTGTTGCTGGTGATGGAGCCCTGGTGGTTGCTCGCGGTGGTCTCGCCTGTCCAGTGATTCGTAGTGACCTTACCGCCTTTAAAGTCGTGTGCCGTGGTGGTGCCGGTCAGGTAGTTCGTGTGCACGCAGCCGGACAAGCTGCATGATGAGGATATCCACTTCTCGGTCGGCGGTGCCGCTTCTCCCGCCGCCTTCTCGGTCGGCGGTGCCGCTTCTCCCGCCGCCCTTTCTGTCGGCGGTGTGGGCTGCACGGAGACCGCCTCCGTTGCCAGCGGGGCGGGCTGCGTGAGCACCGTGAGGACGAGGGGGACCAGCATGTGCAATATATCCCGCAAGAGCTCGGTCGCCGGAGGTGAACGAGCCGCCCTCCTCGGTTTTCTTTTTGCTACGCTCTCGCGGGCTTGGAAGTTGACTGTGTGCTGTTGACATCATTCAACAAAACAAATATCCTATCGGCCATTTGGGTTTCTGCATGCACATGTGCATGTGTACATGTCCAAGAAGAAAGAATAAAAATCTCTCTCTCTCTCATGTCCATGGACATGACAACAACAAATTGCTAAAAATCTCTCTCTCTCTGGACATGCACATGTGCATGTGCATGTGCACATGTGCATGTTGTTGTTGTTGTGCATGTGCATGCACATTGTATGTTTGCGATTTGGATTTTGGATTTGTTTATTTTCTCATGGTCGCACATCCTAAATGAGGTGAATGAAGTCAAGCTCTGGACGCCCCTCCTCAAGACCTCCTCGGCGGGCGTTGGCAACGCCTCGAGCGGCGGCACGCCCGCCTCCGTTGGCCACTCCTACGCCTTTGGTAACACCGAAGAGAAGGCCCGCCGCCTAAACATGGGCTGCAAGGCGCGCGGGCAGCCCGGCCAACCCTTCTCCCACAAGACCGGCCACGGCTACGTCAAGGCGCATCGCGGTTTCTACCACGACGCGATCTTTGTCAAGCGCAACAACTTCAACCTGCTGCTCCACGAGACGTTCGGCGGCGGCTTCTCGCCCACCGCCGTTCTCAAGCTGCGCCGCCTCGCGCGCAAAGTCGCGCACGGCAGCGTCGACCGCACGGCCTACTCGCCCAAGTACTCGCTTTCTTTTATGTCCCACCATGCAGAGCGCATCTCTCTCTCTGTTGTGCGAGGCGTGAACCGCGCCATTCGCTCTCACCTGGCAACCCTGTCTGCACGTCTCGCGCGCGCGTGAACAGGCTCCAGGCCCCAAAGACGGGA